AAACAGAGAAACAGGTTTTAGTGGTCCAAGGAAACGGAAGGAGGTTATTTCTAAAAAGAATTTTAATATTTGGTTACATCTGCTTCATTTTTTTGAATTTCAGCGCTGAGCTAGAAGTTGAGAACGCGGAACTCCGAAAGAAGTTGATCGAATTGGAGAATAAGTTGTCTGAGGCGATGAAAGCGCAAACTGAAGCGTGAGTTTTCCTTCTTCTCGAAGATCTTATTCCTTGCAGTTGTACGTCACTCATCTTGCAGTTATGTAAAGTTTGATATTAAGGCTCGCTGAACTTGCCTCTGCTCGTGCTCATGCGAATGAGGAGGTAGGCATCAATTTTATATTCTTTTCCTTAAACTAAGAGCACAGTAGCAAAGGTCTATCGCATGAGTTTATTTATGTTGATCAAATCTTTTTTCTCAAACAGATTTTTGTCCTGGAGAAATCTCAGCCTGTTGATGCTTCTAATGTCAAGAATGCTGACGCAAGCGATGGAGTTCCAAATCTTCGCCTTGAAAATGAGCGATTACAGCAGAAAAATGAAGTATGTCTGTCTATATGTGCGGTTTGCGAGCATGAGTGTAGAAGTGTTTGGTAAATAATTCTGTTTAGGAACTTCGAGAGCGTAATTTCAAAATACTGGATCACGTAGCAAATTTAGAAAAACAGCTTCGTGAAAAGATTTCATCGGAGTCCACTGCACAATCCAGTCCTGCGAAGGTGCGTCTAGATTTAGCTTGTTTGGGCACATTTGTGGAGTTGATTCCTCATTCAGGAAATGGTATCTTTTAATTCAGCACTATTCACTGACACAATGGTCGCGACAAAAGTAAAGTTTATAGACTACTAGAGAGGGAGGGTGGGGCAAAATTTACGTGAAGAACAGGTTTCGAATTTTTCTCATAAGGGCGCAGAGCAGTAGTAAAGTAAATTAGCACAGTATTGCGAGGTAGCTGAGTGAAACTCTATTCAGAATGGAATTCCTCAAAAGTTCGTTTGAAAATTACAACCTACTCCTCAGAACGATCGCTTTGTAGTCGCTGTGGTCACAAACTCTTTTGTGTTCTATGGAATTGATACATAATAGTAAAAGCAACACATTGACGCAGTTCAGTTACATTGCTAGAAAACCGCCCGAGCACCCTGGAACTCATCCCTTCATCTTTCAAACTCCTGTCACAGATTATCACCTTTGCGAGTTTTAAATCTTTTTCCAATAGACATGGCGAAAACTTACCCCATGTGACTTACACTAAGGGGAAGTCTGATGATAAGCATTTGGATGATACCTTTTTCGTAAGAAAATTTGATCGCATATTGATCGCAAAGAAGTCATTGAGTTTGTACGCCTACTCTGTCACTTTTTACCCTCCTTGCGATTAATGAAAGCTTGCCGACGGATGTTCGTAGTTACTTCACCGCCCATAAACATCTACTTTTCCAAGCTTTTTCGTTTCCACAGATCTCTGGTTTTGATTTTTTTTTTTTTGAGTTGAGGCTCTCTGGAAAGACCACTTTCAGGCGCATGAGGAATCTTGTCACAATCAGTTACTTGAAGAACGAAAGCTTGTTGCGTCTACTATTGGAAGTATAGTGAATTCACCGCTAAACGACTCGGTAGATCTTTCGTTTCTGAACGTGAACCGTTCTTTTTGATGTTTTCTAGGCATGATTTGTTGCAGTTTTTATGATATCTCGTCGGAATCAACAAGTTGAATTGACCTTCTATTAGAGACCTTTCGTTCTCACAATTTTTCACAAATAGTGTTCATCAAATTATTTTAACATTTAAGAGCTACGACGACTATGTCAAGAGATTAGCAAAGTCATTGAGAACCGCTCTCAACAAGGAAAAGAAAAGTCGTGAGGTCAATGGAGCAAGTGTTAGTGTTGTGGTCTATTTGAGTTTGGCTGTTAACAAAACGCCTTCACATCGAATCGAAATAAGCTTGGGGATTTCTTATTTCGTGAACAAATGTTCTATATGCTTATTTAGTGTATTTGAAACTGATTACAGAATACGAATGAAGAGATGCGGGAGGAACTGGAAAACTACAGAAGCTCATTCCAAACTTTGGTTAGTCATGTTACCATACCCTTCGTAAGCTGACGTATATTATTGCTCGACTTTTGTTTTGCAGTCATTGCTCCTATCGCAGATTGAGATGGGTGTCAACGAGCGGGAATCTTTCTATAAGGACAAAGTCGCTCACTTGGAAAGTGAACTAGACAAAGCAGTAAGGCGTTCAATCTTTCTGTAATATGAACTTGGCGAAGTCATGTTGCAATTATAGCCTCGGATTTAAACCATTTGAAGGTGTAGGTCGAATACTGATTAAAAGATAAGCATAAATAGCCACAGTTCCAACTGAATTGGCTGGGTGGCCGGTGTTTTACATTGAATATTCGGAAGTTTTGCCTGTGAGAATATGCATAATTGAAAAGAAAAACCTAAGGAAAGGAAGATTATTGTCTCTGTTGCTGAGACTATTATCGATAATGTATCATTATGGGATTTTTCTATCGACCCTTTGTTTTTAGTTGCGATCACATGCAAATAGTCTCAAAAATTCGCGTTAGCCTCTGCCAACCAACTGTTACACTGTTGTTCTGTCAAGTGTGGTGCACTTTGCTTCCACGTTTATGTTTCCTTTGATTCTTTTTTGTTAAATTGAGTCTGTGGCATGTGCAATTGTTCTTGTTTCATGCATGCTTTTTACCCGCTTTACGTGCAACGCTTTTGCTACTAATTATGTGTTTGTGAACTGACCTGCACCTAATCCTTTGTTTAGAATGGTGTCATAGCTTCCGCTAATCGTCTCAGAAAAGAGTTGAAGGAATGCGAATTCCTCAAAAAGGTTTGTTGTATGCATGGTTTCAGGTTCTTCTAAAGAGAGCCAAGAAGTTAGGTACGTTTCAACTGCAGGAAGTGCTGACCTTACTTCTTTGCCATGTTTCATGCTCTGACGACATCAAAGTGCTGTTGCTATTATTAGCATGCGTTTCTATCAGTGTTACGATCCTCGCAGATTCTGAAGGCAATGTTCGGTCAATTTTTGAACCCATGTGGATGTTCTTTGAATGGAGACATGGCGACGTGCCTAGTTAGTATATGTGTGTCCAGTACATTATTTCCTCGAACAGTGAACGTTCGAAGTGACATATGAAGAATACAGTACATCCCTCTTGTGCTCCTGCTTTGGGCTGTATCTTAAACTAGTCTCCTATGAGTTCCATGTTGACCGGACTTCGCCTTTGTTTTCCAAGTGTTTCACCTGACCGAGTATTGCTCCGTGCTAGGGTCAGGCTAAGCGGTGTTAAGTAATCCCTTCAAAGAGACTTTCAGCATTTAATTGACGGTACCATTGAAATGTAATTTTAATTATTGGAAGGATTATAGTGACATGTCTAAAATGGGGCTATCATGAGGTGTTCCAATGAATCACAAAATAGCTAATGTATGCCCAAGAAGTCGGGAATTATGTTACCACTGTTCATAGTCGATTTAGTTAAGTGAGAAATTCATTTAAACTTTATTTATATGAGAAATATTGTGTCAAAGATTCTAGCAAGTTTGCACACATCAGAGAGAGTCTAACTTCTACGTGACTTGAATGTGTTTTCAGTTCTTCTTACCACCCGGGGGAATGTTGGTTTGCTCCTGTTTAAGGATCCCCTGTCTTTTTTTACCTTGACTATCCCCAAACAAAAGCTTCTGTCGCAATACATTCTTCTTCTTACCTCCCATGGTTGACCTTTTGCAGTCGCAAAGTTCGGTTTCCTCATCGAAAGTTGTCGTCTGGTCTTTTGAAGCATTTATTGCTTCATTCATAACTTCAGTGGGATCATTCCTGATGCGGTTCATCCCCCCTTCTTTGAGGCTTCTCGCGGTAAGTAGGACTGGACATCAAGTTTCAGTTCGTTTTCTATCGGGGTGAACCGCAGCGCGTCTCATTGTTGCCAGTCCTAGACATACATTCTACCTCCCCGTCAGTCGGAGAGGCCGTATGCATTTCCGCCCTACACAATGATGCCAGGGCACAACCCCATCGTAACATATTCATTCCAAGAGCGAACGCATATTAAAGCTGTCTTTCAAGATTCCTACATATAGTCCAGCACTGCTGTAAAGCATTTTAGCAATAACAATCAGGTACGCAACGTTTTTGAGGACCCTGCATCCCGCCTCATCGTGGCTGTGGATACCAGTTGTCATCACTGCTCGCACAACGCTGTCATCAGTAGCCAGAACCTGATGAATTCGTAGCATCGTTACTGGTTCACGCACTTGTTTTAACCATTTTGTTGTGAAGGCTTCCTTCATCGATGAACCGACCTGCAAGGTGTCCCGAACTTACGGGCACCAAAGTTCATAAGCTTATTAGACTGAAATAATTTGATAAGTAATGTGGTGACTTCACTTAATTCACTTTTAATTAGTTTCAAAAGTAGGTTTCCTGCAATATGCATAGTCACTGAAGTGAGACTCCTGATATCTTCTTGAGTATAAGTGTCATTCCATGCCCCTTGCAGTCAATTGCATACAAGAGGCGGAAGGGCATAGTAAAATTTCTTGTGATACCGACAATGACCGCACAGAACTTTCTTTGTACAGGGCTTTCAAACGATACAGAGAAGAAGTATCGGTCAAATAAAAGCCGAAAGGGGTGGGAATGTTAGTGTTTTCAACGCTGGGGCTATTAATATAGTCGTTTGCCAATCGATCGTGATCCTGGGTGACCATTCAGAAAAAGGCATTGGAGCAAGACCCTTCGAAGCCGACCGTGGGCGGATTTTCAAATGGATGTTTCATTGCTATTCATTTGGTTTTCAGAAATGCCACCTCATTTCCAAGTTCAGCAGACAGTGTAGGGGCAAAAAAGGGTGGTGCTGACGCCAGTGTACTGATGAGAACCTCACTGGTTTGACATCCTAGATTGAATTCCTCAAAAGTGGCTCGAGAACGGCTAGAAAGAAATGGAGGAGGGGTAAACTCGCGGGCAGTAGTAGCATCCTGTAAAAGGAGATGACTACGAGATGTTTCAGGGAACGTAGTCGGATCAGTTTTTTGTTAAACCCATCAGTATGCTCTTTGAGCACCGAGTTTGGTCAATCTTCACGCCGGCACCGAAGAAACCACGAGCGTCTCACCCTTGCCAGTAACCCACGACTTCTTCAAAAAACATCATTTTACTGTTTTTATAGCAAGCTTGTTGTGAAAGACGCACGCTAGATGTTTCTCTCCGGAACGCGAACGGTTGGTCGTCGAGGGATGGTTTTATTGTAGAAAATTTTTTGTCGAGAGAAAACGATTAAGGGTTGCGTGTCATCACTCGAGTTGGTCTGCGACTTTCTGCATTTTTTGGCCCTGTACTGTCTGCTGGGAATTGAAGCGAAGTTTCTGCATACGTTAGGGATTTCAATGAAGTTCCTGCATGACATTTTCCCATTGCGATAACTCCGATAAGCCGTGCCCGTTGACTTCTATTTGAAGGGTCACCCAGGATCCCGACCGACTGGCAGACGGACCATTCTAATAGTCCTATCTTTAAAAACCCTTTCCTGGCCCTCCTCTCGCGTGCCAATGATTGCAAGTGGCATTGAATGAGCCTCCTCTATCTGAAAGATATTGGGAGTTCCACGTCAGTAACCATGCATATTGCAAGGGAACCTTCTTATGCAACTCATTAATAACAGGTAATGGGAATTTGATAGATTATTTCTACCTTAGAAATTTTCTGAATTTTGGCATCCAGAATATGGGACACTCTGTACTTTCGTGGTTTAATTGAATCTCCTTTCAAAACTACTAGAAACGAAAGCTTACTCTGCAGTACAGTAATTTGCTCTAAATGTCGACTTTTATAGCAAAATTGTTGGTTTTTTGGACCGCAGAGATTTCAAGGTCAAATTTTACCAGATTTCTTCAGCGCAAACAGTGTGAAAACTTATGCTCGGCGGTTATTATTTCCCGCTTCCTTCATTGAATTCTCTAGCGCTCCTTGTCTAGCTGATAGTCCCTCAATTCTTGGGCACACGCGTATCAAGAATGAAAAAAAAAGCTTTTCGACGTGGAAATGAAACTACCACAACTTTTTACCACCCTAATGGCGCATGAAGAAACATGAAGAACTACATTACGAAACACTTATTATTCTTCAGACCGCTCTCGCGAGAACTATAACACGGGACATACTTTCGGGTTCGAAAAGGTACCAGGGGACGCTAAAAGCTTTATGAGAATAAGCTTAAGAACTGCGAGAGTTCACAAACTGCTTTACACAAATGAAGAGATCAATACACAAAACAAAAGAAATCAATATCAAATATGAGGCCTTTCTTGGCGACTCTGTTTTTCCTGCATCAACAACAACAATAGGGTAGGTTTTGCTCGGAATAGAAGCCCATTGAGGGTAGAACCTAGCATCGACCTCTCACTTTGTGAGGCGTGTTCATGCGTTCGACTTTGGAATCGCAGTCGTGTTTGAATGCGTACGTGATCTTCATCTTGGTCGCGAAGGTCAGCTACTATTACATGCTAGTACTTTGAGACTACCAGAAAGTCTAATGCCAATAAAGCTGGGAGGGATAAGAGCTCTGCTGGTCTGGGCGGGTGTTGTGCGCTACACCAAGCTTTTTAGCCACAAATAAACAAGAATAGGTTCGCTCAGTATCAGAAACTCTTCAAGGCGTGCATATATTTAAAATCTGTTCCTTTTCTGTTCTTCACAAGGGCTTTGGGAAGGTACCTGAGTGGAACGATTGGTGTTGGTTCGTTGGTAGGCGCAGTTCATGACGGAAATGGTTTCTGAGATTTCCGGCTAGAATGAATGTCTGGCTTCCAAGAATAGTAGATGGATCGAAAAACTGCCTAGACAAGGCATAAGGACTCCAAAACCACAGACTTGTTATCACTGCACTATTCACGTGACAATACGAGTAGTGAGAGACACCTAGGCAGATATCTCGTACTGCCCTCTTTCTTGTTACTTTTTTGAAGTTCCATATTTTTTAAAATCCACCAATTTTCACACTTTCTTCGCCACACTTGCACTATTCTTTCTGCACCAAGACTTTCATTATTTCGATTGAAACGGAAACCTCAAANAGTACGATTTCATGCCACTTCCAAATAAGTCCCAAAATCATGCAATTTTGGGACTTATTTGGAAAGTCTTTCACTTTTACATCACTCTACTTCTGGAACCTTATACACCGTTAGCCTGACCTAGTGAGGGCTTTCCGAAGTACTTTTCTCAGAATATTCCGTCTTTCGTCGTTTTAGCAGATCCAAGCCCTACGCAAATGTCTCGGCCAACCAGAAGAGGGAAAAGAGATAGCTTCATCGAGAGGTGGCACAATGAAGAGTGACGAGTCGGACTGGGAAGTCGTCAGTCGTTGAGCGGGTAGGTCGCATGCACATGCCATTGCCTGTTCCTTTGTTAGCAGTCCTTCTATGTACACTTAATCATAACATCGCTTGAAAAGATCTCTTTCCTCCTGGATTGCTGTTGGTGGGGAATCTTTAGTTGCAGACACACAGAACACTTTGTTGACGGTTAAGATTGATCTTCATAATGAACTATTTTTAAATATGATTTCTGACCAAGGTAGTATGGTGTGAAATACAGCACAGAATTTGAATTGGCAATAGTATGTCTACGATGCCCACTCATACTTAGGTATCTCCCGGGTAGGCTTTATATGTTCTTTTTATCATTTATGCAATTTGAAACAAGTACCCATCTCCGTTTGGATGGTGCACTTCATACAGCAATCATCTGTGTGCTGACAATAAAAAGTGGGTCTACGGTTTAGAATAGGTTGCTCAGTTTTTAACATGAATGTCATCGGGAGTACAGGAGAAGCCTTAGGAAGGATGTAGTCAGGAAACATCTGATGTCTCCAATGCAAAAGTTTAGTTCTCACGGCTGTCAATCGTATCAGGGGCTTCTCTCTCGCGAATGAGTGTGTGGTTTTCGCCTTTCAAGTAGAATGAGGTATTTCAGCAATGAGGGAGGGGGCCCGATTGAGTGTCGTTAAAGTACATCTGTCGGAGGTCACGAATCGAATGCAGTAACGCTCTGCAAAACATAAGCTATTTCCGACAAATCAGTCCGCCTTCTTGTCACAAACCCGTCTTCCGCAATTACAACTTCACGTTTTGAGTCCCTTGATCCGGTTTTCACACACTTAGTAGTTTAAGATTCAGTTGTAGCCCAATATTCAACTTGGAATTGCAAGTCAAGTTTTGGACTTTTTTCAAGCGAGCAATACTATTAATAGTCTTTTTTTCAATTTCACGGAGCAAGTATTCATTCCGAATTGCGGAGCGGTCGATACCAAAAGGTATTGTATAAGTATGTGTTGTGTAGCTCCCGCATGCATTCCCGATCATCATTGTGCGGCGAATCGTAATGTCAATATCACCGTTTTTCTGGATTTCAAACCGAGTGGTACCACAGTTAATGCAGAAACAGCTGTTTCAAAGCGCTTGAAAACTGGAAAACAGTCTTGTTCTAGAGAGCACATCAGAATATACTCTTGTACATTCTTCTACCTGTAGCAAGGAAGTTTGGGAAGGCGAAAAAGTCTAGATCTTCTTTAAACTCGCTTTCTGAAGTGGTTGATTCCATATGGCAAATGCTATGATGCGATGTAAAATTAATAGATAGCATTCGCANTTTTTTTTTCACTAAACGCCGTGAAATTGCCATTTATCGACTTCATATTCATACTAAACCAGGGATTCATACTGACTAGGCGCAAGAATTCCGTTGTCGGTGTCAAGCAGAGCCTAAGATCACATGGTAAAATAGCGCTGCAAGAGAGTTAAATGTAGTAATCTCGTGGTACTTCTAATCTCCGTCGCTGATAATTTTATCCCACTAATGTATCTCTAGCTCGCTGGGGACGAGACTATGACTCTCTTATCCCCGACCCTAGGTAGTGGATAAGGGAGTGAATTGAAAGCCGAAAGTCAACGGTACCTGCCTAGGGGCGCAGATGGATTCAAGGGTGGAGTATCGCCCGCATATGTATCCCCGCATACGTATTTGGGAATCTGCGGGTGCGATTGATATTTCGCACATCAGTCCAGTCAAAAACTTGCACTCGAGCGACAGGGAAGTAATGTAGTAGGCGATTCGGGGCCCCTTCAATAGCGAAACCTCTTGACCACTCTGGAATAGCTGGCCTCATTTCCTGCATGGCTCTCAGGGCCATGTCATACGGTTTAGCAGTGGGATTACTAAGATGCCGGTCTGTTTTTCGACGCACGAATGTTTGCATCGGATCGAGATTGGCGAAGAGCTGTTGCTCGGAGCATGCGATAGCAAAGACGTCGGCAGTGTAGGTATCCTCGTCAATGCGCCCTTCGCTTAGAATAACGATTGCTACGAAACCTTTGCAAACCGAATCGTACGTTTGCGATTGAGAAGATGTGGTCAAATTCCAGCTTCAGTTCAATCGTTATTGCCCACTAGCCAACAACAAGCTACAGAGCATAGCTGAGAGAGTTTTATATTGACTCCAAAAAATTCTTTATACAACACCAGGATTGTCATGGACGAACATAGAGAGGAGAAGAAGAAGAAGAAGAGCTACATATCGGGGCTCACTGACGGCATGGAGTGAGTAGAGTGAAGGAGCACGACTCAAACAATTCATAATAATTCGAAGAATAAAATATGCATTCATTTGCGGTAAACTTGAAAGTCGCCGGGTAGACAGTCAGTCAGCCGTAATGAAATAGTTCACATTATCTTCATTCGGAGCCTTTGCCTGACGGACATCGCTGTTGTTGGATCGGATCATCGTCTCCTCCGCGCTAGATTCTGTTTTTTCAATGCATGGGAAAGCTGATTTCAGGGAACGAAGCCCCAAGACGAACGTCAATCGAGATCATTTGCCTGGTGAGTTAATGCAACGATTAACGATCAACATCGATGAGGGAGTGATCGGTTCGATGAACAGCTTCACGATAGTGCTAGGAAACCAGAGATCCAACAAGCTGACAAGAAACGACTGTTTGAAAACCCTCAAACTGATGCACCAGAGTCGTACGTCGCGCGAGCTACAAGCAGTCATCAGCTAACACCTGAGCCTGCGGTGCAGAGAAGCGGTAAAGGAAGCTCTGAAAGGAAGAGGAACAACAGTCCTTGACGAAACAGCTAAGCCCGTAAGCCTTCGCAAAGACCGCCCAAGCCTTGCCAATCACAAGACCAAGACGCTTTACTTCGTCGTACTGACGGATCAGTCACTGCATCTCGAAGAGCAATAAGAAGGTCATCTACGGCTTATACACAGATTCCTTCGGCAGCCGCGTTTACTTGCCTACCTACCATCTTAGACAAGACGAATGTCCTTCCTACAGTTCTTCCGGAATTCGATATACCATGAAGTCGGTAAAGAATTGCTCTAATCCCGGTCTCGATAGAATTAAGGCTAAACATCAGAGTTTGAAATTTCTTGTCAGCCTCTTGGCAGGTATTGACGCGGTCGCTGTCTTAATGCAATTGCCCACTTTATGGAAAACTAGCAAGAGTGTGTTGCTGTATCGGAAAGGAGATCCATATGATACTATCATAACAATCTTTGCCCAATCTACCTGCTGTTTGTAATTTATAACATTTCATCCGAGTCATCCCTAAAAAGATTGGCAGGATACCAGATGAAGGACAACCATGTTAACTAGTAAGGTTTCGGAGAGGGTTCAGTGCGATCGGTCACGTCCACACTGCCACAAGACCACTGAAGCGTTGCGAGAGTACGGATTGCCGTTGTTTCACCTCCATCGATTTCTAAAGCCTATGCAAGACTCAATGTGCGTTCATCAAATGGTGATTGAAGGAATTTCTCATGGTTCCAATCAAATAAAGGGTCCGCATCCTAATCATACGAACCATTGGGGGTTATCACCTGAAGCTAGTGTATGATTAAGAAGCGCTAGTCATATGAGGTGATTTCGTTGTCTTTCAACCTAATAAAGAGGGGTGGGTGAAAATATAGTTGGAGGAAGTCACGCTACTGTGATCTGCGCCCCTTACGCTAATAGCCAGGGCACACTGAAGGGTGTGGCGAAGGTTTTGCAGGCCTATAATGGGGCTTGGAAACCATTTCAAGTGAAGTTTTTGACCGAGTTAAGGAGTACGGAGGGAACTGAAAAGCTGACTTTTGCAAAAGTCGGTTCGGAAGAGGAATCAGTCAGTAGTACTCATCTCAACTGTTATTCGACTGTTAAATGTCTTTGTGTAAACTATAAAGAAAAAGTAATACAACGCGTTGGGTTACCTGCATTTCATCATTTCTTGTTTTCAGTGATCTCTTGCCACCGCTCTTCTTCGATAGATGGTTAGAGGCGAAGTGTGTGATGTATGCCAGTTTAAAATCATCATACTCACCCGTACAGAACTTCTTTGCGTTTGCGAAATTAGCCGTAGCGCATTGTAATCGAAAGCGATAACGGGTATACGATCACGCTCTTTGCGTGCACGTTGTTGTTCTGTGATTTCTGAATCTGATTACAGTTTCTACTTGGTGGGTTTTCTAACTAGCCCATTCCTCTTGTTGAGATGAAACCTCCCGTTTGCGACGTCATTGTTTTTTAAAAATTTCATATCGTTGTTGCAGTTGTTTGTAGTTGTATGATAGTTCATACTAGTTTTGTTACTTAGGAGCTGGTTGACAACTCCGGTTATGATTTTAATGTTGTTTGTCTCACATTTCTTAACAGGAATCGTGATTCAGTTTGCAATCACCTTCATTCTGCTTTTTGTGGTGTTGGGATAAAGATTTTATTTCAAAATTTTTGTACCTATATAAATAGCAGTCAAATTAATAGTTAACGAGAATATGATTCAAGCAGCTTTTCACGCTCAGTATCAGACGACCCTGGATGGGCCCACCCTCGATCGCGTTATCTACACACTAGCTCACTGGAAACGTTCTGCTTTTGTTGGGGTTCACAATTTTAATGCTTCATCTTCAAGTCCTTTATGCTCTCTGAAAGACGTGAAGGATGTAATGGCCCCTTTTAATTACTTTATCTTTGTTCCACTCATGATTGTAGGTCCAACTAATTCTGTTACAAACATTTTCGCTGTTGCCGAACATGCCCAGAAAACTACTTCTTAAAAAGCCATTCAATGAGAAACTCGGTGCTCCAACAGTCGAGTTTTAAGACAAGTTGTGCGGAGTAAAAACCGCAGCACTACCGAGGTAGTTTTTCGTAGAATTGGCTCTGGATCCTTGAAACCGACGAGCTCTTCGAAACGTCGATCTAATATAGCAGTTTTTTTCATAACAAACTTATATGGCAAAGCAATGTGAGACAAAGTTCTGCAACATATTCCATTTAAGCACAGTGCGATGTGGATGAGAGCGTATTAATTGTACAGTTCATTGGCAACATGTTGCACATGCGTTGATGTAATCGAATCGATTGCTTACCGATCCCAGAAAATGTAAAGTTTTATACAAGTGAATGCATTTGAGTGGCCTTACTGACGGGAGGCAGGCAGCTGGACCGGTCAGGTTCAGCTCTTTGCACTTCAGCTTTTTCACTGGGTCGCTACAGCTATTTTTCTGCAAAATCTTGAAAATTTTGCGAAAAGACTGTAGATCAATGTGTTATCCTTTGTTATACACCCTCAGATGATGGAGAGGGAACAGCAACTCCTCACTGGCATTCTCAGGGGTATCTTTTGTCTCGCTGTCCCTTCTAATCTTGGTTATATTCCTATTTTTTTGGGTGATTCCTCTTGTAAAAGAGCTGTTCGATGATGATATCATGCTTCTTCCTCTGAATAGCTTGAGGCTATGAAATTCCACTTTCAAAGGGTTCACGAGTGCTCCCTGGTTGATTATTTTGTTTGTTTTTGAACTCTCATCCACAGCATTATTGTTCGTCGCTTAGTTTTGTTGTACTAGCGAATCAAGCTTTCGGAAAGCTATCGTTTTTTTTGTTCTGTAGGCTATTATGGATAATTATGCACGAACAATAAATAAAAGTAATGTGCCAATCCAAAAGAACCGTCCGACAAGGATGTCGATTACGCCACACCCCTTATTGACAGATATAGATTACCAGACCAATGCAACTTATAATGTGATCCAGTGTCAGCTACCAGGCTTCGTCGTTAATTCGTATAACGACGTCTTCCTGTTCTCAAATAAAACTTCTACAACGACAATTATGGAATGGTCACAATGGCAGCGAACGAAAGAGATTGGAAAGGTTTCACGGGCGTAGGGACGAGAGTCAGGACGGAGGTGGGATCGTGGGCTCTGGCGGCGCCGTTCTCTAAAGTCATGGCAAATCTGGGTGCAGCATATGAGCGACATGTACTCTATGAATCTTTATTGTTATCCAAAAACTGCACGACTGATTTTAGTGGAGCATCGCCCAAATCTGGAACTAGTGGAACCCCTTGTAGAGGCTAGGTCGTAGCCTTCCTTCTCTAGGGTAGAATGACGTTTGAGGGACAAGGGACGTCCTGGTGTGAAGTGGCAGGGCGAGCAACTTTAGCAGTGAGTAACAGAACACATTTGCAGCCTACTTCTCTGACACCATATTCAGGAACCTACAGAGCGACAACGTAAATTTCGCATTGGCTCGAAATTTCGCTCCAGAGACTCATCAAAATTCACCGGCCTCGCTTCATTGTAGGTTGCTCATCAGTACATAGTACCTCCACGACCTTATCCCTTTTCTTACCATGTGCTCCGCTGCTCCTGCTCAGACAACCCTTTGTGAGAAAAAAGCGTAAATTAGTATGTTCTGACAACGACCATCAATGATTTTTCTCTTTAAACTTGCCAGCCTTTTATTAGAAACCACTTCTCGTGCTGTTCAGATGTTGGCTTTCAACCGAAACAAGCTAATCAGTCAATCGCATATCAGCGAGTGCAAAATCTAGCATGCATGTATCCATTATCGTGATAAGCAGGTTCCTTGTTGAGGGATCAGTCATGATTAGCTTCAAAGCGCCGTGTTTTCAGGGTTTCTCCATGCGGCCGTGCTCTTATTCTCTTTGGAATTGATCCCGCACCGTCGCAAGGTCCACTGAGAGTCTTACTACATACATATTTTGCCACATTTTCAGATCTTTTGAAATGCAAACAGCGTAACAGAAGTGGTCATATTTGGTCATTCGAGAGGAGGAATGTATCTAGGAAGGAATTAGAATAAAGGTGTAATATTATGCGGTAATTCGGTTATAGCACCGAAACACTGCGTTTCCTGCATTTCAACTTAATAAACTCAAACACAGTTGGTGTTTTGGGTCTATATTAATCATTTCCGCAGATCATGACCTTTGCAGTCACGATTTGGTGTTTCGGGAAGATGAAATGACAAGGAAATTGAGTGGTCTCAGATTTGAAGCTTTCACAATTCTATCATCATCATCTCAGAAAATCTGGAACGAAACCTGCTCAGGAGCACAGAACTACAGAATTACTCCGCACGCCATTGTATAAGTCATAGGTCTCTACTACTTGAGAAGATATTTGAAGTGAATCTGCAATGAAAGCTATCAATGCGCCTAGTCCTTAGATGTGACATGATGACAAGCCCAAAAATCAAAGTACTATGAAGGTGGCTCGAATTAGAGAGTAACACTTCTGTAGTTCATGCTGGACTAATGAGAACCCTTTTCTTTTAAGGTACACACTTATCTCCCACATTAGTGATAGTTTGAACTGGGTCATTTTCGAATAGTTCCCTCATTTGTTCAGAACATTGAAGCTTTCATTTCCCATGTTTAATTGAAAAGTCAATCAAAAGCACAGATAAGGGTAAAGGATAAAGTTTTTGACGTTAATCAGTCCCGTCTGAGGGATGCACCCCGCACTCGACTTCCATTCAGAATCGTGGGCTTCATGAGTGCGTATGTGGTCTATACAATGACCTGCGGTGGCCAGCCGATGTACACGTCAGTGCTTTTATCTTCCCAAACGACTCTGGTACCACCGATCCTGGAGGGATGGAAGACTTGGTTGGCCTAGGCGGGCAATCATCTGGGTTTCGAACCCTTGAGCGTGCGTGTGATATAGTGCGCCACTTGTCACTACACTACCTCCGCCCGAAACACAGACAAAGGAAGAAATAGCCGAATAGAAGTACCTAAACAGCGTTAAATAGTGTTTTTCGACTTTTATTCTTAGCCCGTTAATCCCATAACTGTTGCATTAGTAAAAGTTTGGAGTTCTACAACTGAATTGTGCCATCGTGAAATTTCTTATGCCGTAATTCAGTTCCCTCAATATTGAGCTCTTGAGTGTCTCGATATTTCCAACTTTTATTTGTATCAATTATACTGTATCCGGTGAGCGCCTCGCGCTATAAGGGTTTCCTCCTCTACGAAATATGCTGATGCCAATGTTTCTTCTAATCCGGCATATCCGAGTAGGTAATCGAAAGTAATCGAAGCAGCCCTTCTATATGTGACGATTTGATTCAGCTCATCTGTCCTCGGGTCTTGCTTTCCAGTTCAAGTGTCACGAAGAGTACGATCAGAATTTATTAATGTCATATTATTTTTGTCAACTTATCATATTAAAAAAACGTTACATATGGCTATAAATTAGTAATAAACAAGTAATTCTATTCATTAAACTTATAATGCAGGCGATGATGATGATTGTGGACATGGGCTCAACGTGATATTGTCAATTGCAAGCCATTTGAATTTCCTCCATTGTACCGCTTTGAAGTATATCTGAGAGAAAGTTCTTTTATTCAATTGATAGATATGACCGTGACTCAGTGAACTATCGGATGCGGAAATATATTCACTTCTCTCGAAAAAAAAATCAGAGGGTATTCGAGGTTTAGCTAAGAGACTTCAAAAAAGAGTTCTCAGAAAGTGGCAGTACTTAAAGGCACAGTTCATGATAATTTTGGGTAATCCAGATTATGATGAAAAATGGAAGACAAGATCGAAACTAGTGCGACTGAGGTGAAGAAACTGCGTGCATCGGTGTTTCCAAAGTGAAAAGAAGGCTTCGAAAAAAACGTTAAAAAAGGGGCTATACGAGAATGAAACCAGAAAATGAAGAAGAGTACGAGCCAAACAGTGTGTTTCATTGTGCGCGTGTGGGTCCCGGTGCGAATAACAGGCAATTGTGAGAAAAAATTCATTCACAATTCATTCACTTATAAGCATAAATTAACTTAAAAACCCTAGTGACAGCAAAAGTAGCTCATCTTTTTCAGCCTCCAGGGGTAGGAAATTAAATAAGGGATCGCAGCAGCAAAAAGAAAAACAGAGGAAAAAGGAATGGGAGAAAAAAGTCGCCTCATCACTCGGCGATTAGCTGATTGTGCGTGGGTCCTAGAACGAATAATAGCAATCTGTATTGTCTCGACACTCGTCTAACGTGACACCGATCGAGGGGCGGGAACGCGAACGCAACAACGTGGCTGCCACTATGCCCTGGACGTCGAGATAGGGGAGTGAGAGGGTCCCTTCTACAACCCATGGGGGCTGCTGAGTATTAATAAGGTAAGAACTCAATAATTTTTTATCGTGAACGGTGCCTTTAAGTCAACAAGGCTGAATGCAAAGTTTAATGGATGTGTACTACATAGTGATCATGTCGCCCGAACTGCCAAAGCACAGTCTGAGCGCAATAAGCTATTTCTACCTATTTCTTTTACTGTGACTACCCGAGAAGAGAGTAAGTTTTCCAACTAACATTCTCTTAAGAACAATGCTCTGCCCAGAAAAGCTTCCTGGTGCTCTCGTTCCGGGGATGCGTGTCGACCCTCAGTAGCTTCGTGGGAGATAGCTGTGGGCGCTGTTGATCTACACATCAGCAAGAACAACAAACTTGGTGTATACTTCTCACAAGTTTTGAATAAGCCTAGTTATTTTCCCAACTCTTTGTAAAACGCGCTACAAGAGCACGACTCAAGTGAAGATCTACCTTTAGTGCAGGATCAATGTAAATAATTCCTCAATAAATGGCAGCAAAAGTAACAGGTGAAGAGAGATAATTCAAAACGAACTTCACAACGAAATTGCGNATTCATTATGTTTGACTATAAACGTTCTCGCTATAACAGTAATTGCCCTCTGACTCACCGCTCTGATTCTCAGCTTTCTTTTCCTCAGCTGAGCAGAGCTAATAACAAGTATTGCAGCCGGATTGCTACAGAAACAAAAAATCTTGAAAGTAACCAAACCTTCCTGGTAGTTTTTGGGAGGGTGAACGTCTCTCCTTGTTTCCAGTGCACGTGTCTATCAAACGGCGAAACAGTATATGGGCAATTGAAGGGAGTATCAAGACAAACCTGAACACGAAGCGATTAATCCCTTTGATACATATATGTTCCTGAGGTTAGCGCATTTTGTATCCAATTTCCCACAGTCGCAGGAGAGGGTCGACACCAATTACCGTAACCGCTCAGAGCAATCACTCAGATCTTACCCTTATGGGGCACACTCCGATATATGGAGAGAGTGCGGCGCGACACACCGACAGGGCCGTAATTTTAAGACCATAGTTCTCATCGAACATGTTTCTAAAATATGTTTGAAAATGTTTCCGCCAAGAAAGAGTAATGCACCGGAACCCAACCTTATTAGTGATTTTTCGACTGAGTAGCAATTCTTCTGTTTTGCCTCCCCACAGGTCTGTCAGGATGGGGTCCGTGTAAAAAGAGATACTACTACAGCGCGTATGGTTCTAGCATCAAAGTCTGAACAAATACTGGTCTCAAAGCACAGTTCGAATCAGATATGGTTCTCGAGACTCATTATTGAAATGGACCCTCTAGATGCCACATGGGGTGTTTTGAATATGCAGTACAGTGAGTAAGTAGGCAGTTGCTAGCAGCGTACAAGTCAAGGCTTTTATCCTCCCACACGAGGCTGGTGCCAACTTACAGACAAGCAAAATAGGAATGGAAGTCTTGGTTGGCCTAGACAAGTATCGATCCAGGATTCGATGCCCCCGTCATTAGTGTTTCATCTTCCTCACTTGCAACTACACCACCTTCGCCTACTTTGTTTAACGGCTTTGTAAATGCTACGCTAACACACCCATTGTCCACACTGAAGCACATTCGTCGGAAATTATAAGAAGACCATACTAACCTGCAATGTGATGTCCTTGGATCTTCTGTAAACATCGAAGGATAGCTTCATTTCCTCAGTTAAAGAGAATTCAGGCGATTCTAAGATGTACGTTGTCACTCCCAATGTGGATGTATCGGTACCGACGAAAAGAAAACCTAAAATGGCCCTTTTCTACTTAATCGAAGTTCGCTTCTTCTTGATGGCGATGACCACACTTGGCACTGCTGCGGATTCCCTATGCTCGACATAATTTCCTTTCATAGATTGCCGGTATACGAGACCGGAGCGCGCGCATACCTCAATATATACCCTAATAAATGAACGTTGCATTATGCTTGAGGGCACAGTTCATGATAATTCTGGGTAATTCAGATTATGACGAAAGATGGTGAGCAAAAATTTATTCAGTCATAAGCATGATAACAAAAAACCCTAGTAACGACAAAAATAGACCACCTTTCTCAGCCTTGTGAGTTAGAAAATTAAAATAAGGATCGCCGCAGAAAAAAAACAGAAAATAAAGGAATGGGAGAAACATCGCCTCATCACTCGGCGATCAGCAGATTGTGTGTGAGTCCTAGAACGAATACTACAATCTGTATCGCCTCGATAGTCGTCTGGCGTGACACCGATCGAAGGCGGGAAGTCCGGGCGATCCGGTTACGGGGCTCCCACTATGCGCTAGTTGCTGAGTTTGAGACTCGACAGCGTCCTTTCTGTTACCCTTGGGGCCACTGGGTATTTCTAGGGGCAGAACTCAGAAACCATATTTCGTGAACTGTGCCTTTGAAGGGTGTCGAGTGGGACCACCACAAAGTCATGAAATTTTACGGTGAATATCAAAGCAGCATAGGTTCATACGTGTAAAACACAATAGTGTAAAGGAAAGGAGAAAGGGTACAAGGTGTTACTCTACCCTTTTGTACATACATGCCTATGAACTTGGTGTTCAAAGAACAGAGAATTGCTACTGTTTTTTCTTGTGATCGAGAAGATATAAATCCGTAGCATATACCTACCTCCATTGGCTTCCTGTTCTCCCTTGCCATCACCAGATATATTATCCACTCTGTGGTTTCCCAGCTGCCAATCGACCAAGCTAAAACCATATCTTTGAAGAGCATTACCGTATGTAGATTTTTAGGCAGCACCTCATTGTTTCATTTTGATAATTGCGATATCCACAAATGTCGTTTGTGAAATCGCACGGGAGCAGCTGGCATGCCGATGGCTGTTGCAAGAACTCATCGACCTGTCTCGAATGGCTGCCCTCTGAAATAGTTCTGGTTATGAAGTCGTGCAGAGGGGAGAAGTTGCTGAAGGATCACAAGTGGACTCAATGTTGGTAACCAGCTGAGCCACGCCAAATAACGCCAAGACTCAGAAACTCTGAAATAATAGAGCTTGGGCAAGTGGGGATTGGTGATCGAAAGTGCGCTGGATAGCTTTTAAGCTCTGACACTTTCAGATTGAGCTGATGCCTTGGTCTCGGGTGATCAGTCCACAGTGACAGTTTGAATTCAGTTCCTGGTGGGAAGCACCAGGTTTCGAATGCGAGAGGAATACAAAAGGGGGGGGGGGGGNGGGGGGGGGGGGGGGAAGCGTCCTGACATCCAGATGGTCAGCTTTTGTGGCCGCCCCGTTTGGCAAATTCTGTTTAGTACGGGTAAGCTCCAAAGTGATGAAATGGTCACGTGCTCGTTCTCGTACTTTTCACATGCATGAAAGGGGGCAATGCCCCATCCCAATTCATTTTGATCCTGTCGAGGGAGTACATGCGCCATTCGAAGTCCAACAACAGCAGTATGGTCTTACTATCGAATCTCGAACATTCCAATTTCACCAACCGATTTTGAATTGCTCTGTAGGTTTACCCGGAGGGAGAAAACTTTTATAAATCATGAAAAATATTACATCATGGCCCTTAGGCCATTGGGTTCCTTCGAATCTCACCGTCATTCTTCATGGCCCCATCAGCACTTTGGTTTTCTCCAACTGCGTTGCCACCTTCATCATCAAAGTTCGCATCGTCACGTTGGTCTCTTTGGTCCTCGCTAGCCTGCAAAGGTATACCTGAAGAGTGTTGCGATGTTCGAGCGCAGAAGTGAATCCTTTCTACAGCATATGCTCTAAGTTCCTAGTTGATTGCTGTTTGGTCAGCTCAAAAATTTATTTATCAAAGCCGTACCGATACTTAACACAAAGGAATTGCATAGGAAAAATCATCTAGTCCACAACATTTCAAACCATTGGGATAGTTCGTTCTAATTGTTAAGTTGCCCTTCTCTTCCATGGCATTCGAAATTTGATCGTCTACCTCCCTTTTTCTCGCTTGAAAATGAGCTCCCCAATACCTAGCCCGTACACCTCCTGAACTTCGGTGATCGGTCCCTTTCCGAGAAATCGTTGTTATGGTAAAGACTGTGGTACTGCATCCAAACCCTTCGCGAGTGGATGGGTTCAATGCTGAATACGTTCACGCTTTGCTGTTCCTTCAACTGAGCGAAGTAGAATATCTTTGAAAAGAACCGAGCAGAACTGAATAGAAAAACAATAGGGGCAGAAAAGCCGCTGAGTGCATGCACCAGCCTACAGCTGGAGCTGGAAGAGCACTCAGCAGTTAAATAGTGCTGTTAATAAGCTAAATACACTATAATTGGATATTTGAGACCCCTAGTTGCTTAATATCCGATAACTGAACAAAAAGGAGAATAGTGATCCAGAACACAGCTGTCGTATCCTCGCTGCCCGACCGCCACCAGGACGAGACCAGCTGTTCATGGACGTTACACAGGGTCACTATAAAACGAGCCAGATACCGGCAACTTGGCCTCTACCCATCTCGAGCGTCTAGCTCTGTGTGGCTTGCCCATCGTATCGGCTCTGGCCGACATGTCCTGGCCTCCCCCTTCATCCAGTCATGTTATAATATAATGTATATATAAGTAATAAAATATGTATATACCTGTTCTTTGTACCCACTTATGAACTCACGTCCCGCTACACTATCAGATATAGGCGTTATGAACCTATAATCTGTTATGGAGGTCCCAGTGAGACTCTTTCATGTGGGAAATTTTGTCACTTTTCAGGGT